TTGACAACACTCCCAACTCGTCAAATACTGCTTCTAAATAGGATGTTGTAGATGCCCCTCTAGCATCATTTTCAATTTCAAAATAAAACTGGTTAACCTTGTGAAAAGGTTGCAGTTTTGTTAAGTTTAGGCACAAAAACTACTTACTTGGGAAAAGGTCACAAGTTATGTTACAAAGCTGATGTCCAGAGCTCACATTCATCACATTTTAAAACATAGGGCCACTGACCAAGCTGCAGTAGCAGCCGACAGACGACATGGGAGTGAGACCAGGATGGTAATACAAAAACATTTCAGCAGAATTATGCTTGAAGACTGTAAACAAAAGTCTATGTCAATAAGAATTATGGATACTTATTTTGCCTTATTGATTGTTCTGCTGTCAGAACTCATGGAGGAGGGAAGAATGGGATGGGAACAAAAAAATTATCACAGCTGCTGATCTTGTTTTCCCTAATATGTGCGAGAGTGCATGAGCAGCCCAGTATCCTATGAATTATGTCCATATTGAACCATTTTGCACCTCATGGTTTATGTCCAGTGTCAATGCTGGAGTTAGTGTGCATTTATTTAGGGAGATATAAAATCATAAAAAAGTTATGATAGGCTTGTAGGATGTCTGACTTTGATGCAAGAGACTGGAGTTTGCATCACAGACCTTTTAATGACAATCTTTCCTCACACTATCTTTTTCTTACCTTCACCTTGGTATAGTTGTAGAAAGCAAACTTCACTGGATGTAAAAAAAAAAAAACAACAACAATATTGTCATTCAAGAATCCAATATTGACGTTCTGTTTAGTGCAAGAATTGTAAATTAACAAGAAACCCAGTGAGCCCTTCACTGATGCAGCACATCAATATCTGGTACTTATTTGCTACACTGTCAGAGACTAAAATCAAGTGTTCAAACAAAGAGCCACATACATTAGTAGACAAGGACCAGCATTCTCATCTCTCCCTGATGAAACCTTTCAGGAAGGTTACATGTCATCTTCAGCTCACACTGGTTCAGCAGCAACAGTTGTCACATTCTCACAACACAGATGGCCCTCCTTCGCTCTCTGTAACTCATTCAACCCTTTTCTTTCTTATTTAAAGGCCTGAACAGATGGTAAACACTGGCATAGATGTGCTTAGGGACTTCTGTGGTTGCAAAGAGAAGAGGGAAAAAGTTACTATTGTGCATTTATATGTACACTCTGAAATGCCATTCCATTCCCACACCTACATCTTTATGAGTGCATATCCTCCTGGTCCTATTGTGGAAAAAGAAGCTGTTTTCATCCCAGGAAGGCCCCTTTGACCCCTGTGAAAACCCTGTGTTTGTCCCCCTTATTTGAGGGTCTGTAATGGCTCAATCTACAATGGCTACTTCTTGGCATAATTGTTAAAAAAAAACCACACTGGACAACTCTTGAAAATGCTGTTTGGAATAATCCAAAGTATCCTTTCATCTAAGATCAAGACAAAAACTTTATTTATTGGATATTGCTAAGATAAAATAAGCATTATATCAAGTGTTCATGTTAGGGACTAAACATCTGTCATCAGATTATGTGTTGCTGATCCTGATTGATTCATCACCTTTTTCCAACTAAGCCCCGCCCACTTCAAACCAGTGAGGAGACCATTTAAAAAAAGAAATGTTGTTTGTGAAATAACCAAAATTGATATAACTTTGGCAGAAAATAGCGAGTTTGTGTCAGATCCCATCACTCATAGCTGATTGGGAAAATATGTTTTCAGTGCCTTAAAGTTTAAATCAAAGTTGCATGAGCCTCATCTGTTCTCTTGGATGTGGGTTCCCCGTGAAGGCCAAGTTTTCTGTGCACTCCATGTGAAATCTTACCATCCTAAGCAAGTACAGAATACTTCCTCTCCCTTTGGTTTGAAACCACCAGTGGGTCTTTAATGCCCGCAGAGTGGAGAGAGTAATTTATCACCGTCCATCTTGAACTGTTGTAGAGGGAGGTCTGATTTTACTGCTGGTGTCACATGTTAACGAGCAGATTTTATGGTGAAAGTGATGAGGGGTCACACCACCTAGAAATTAACACACAAAGTGGCTTAGCTGCAAATTAATTTCTTTTACTAGAAGTTTGTCTTTTGGATGGTTTTAAATCAAATGCACGAAGAAAATGTTGCTTTTTCTTTCTGGCTCAAGCATATCTTTGACACTTGGAATGATGTCTTTGTACACATGTGCACTAACTTTCTCTGCCTCACCTTGGGAATAGGGAAATAAATGACAGCTATTCCCCTTGTCCTTGTTTCTTTATGAAGATTGGGTCGCTTCCCAGGTCACTACTGTAAGAAAGGATCAAGTGTCCTTCTCATTGCTAAGTAGCTGATGTCATTAAACTGGAATCCATCCATGTTCACTACCTCTCCCCCACTTTGTATGTACCCCTGTGTCTAAATCTGATAAATGTGTGTCCTGAAAAAGTCCTGGAGAAGACTGATAGCAAACGATAGGGATGGGTCATGGAAGGGTTAGGGCAATGAAACTAATTGAGTGGTGTCCTGTTTCACTAAAGTGGATTCATTAACTTTGTCTGTCATCACTGCAGGACTGCGCGCGGAGACTCTAAATACTGATGGCAACTATCAGACACTGGGGGCTAAAGAGAAAAACTGGACACAGGCTGTATGTTACAGGATACAATATCCTGAGCCCCAAACTATAATAAAGTCTATATATATAAAGATGAGGAAATTGCATATTGTGCGGTATAATAATTTTGTCACTGCCTTGTATTTACGCATAAAGGCCACAGTATTATATTAGCCAGAGCTCAAGAGGCTATGGACTTTTTAAAATATTGCATGAATTTCATCTCAGATTTCCATTCAGAGCAGGGAATCCGTCAGAAGAAGATAAGGATACTTATCTGAAACTACTCACAGATGTAGCACAAAAGACAATATTGGCAGAATGACCATCTATTCTACATAAAACACAAGGAAATGAAAAAATGAAGAGGAGAACAAATGGAACAAACCCAGACTCATGAGACTTATAGCCAACCAAAACTATTTTGGTTCCCTAATTCCAATAATAATTCAACCAGAAAACTTAATTTTTTTCTCACAGCAAATATTCCATTATTATAAATGTTGATTCTTTTACTGTTATTATTGTATTTGATATGTTTTGGTTGTATTGTTCGTTCTTTAAAATGATTCTATTTAATGCTCCAAATTATCATAAACTCATAAACTAAAAGTGAGAGATTCACAGATATCTCTCGTTTTTCCTTCACATCTGGACAGTGTGCCGGGGCAGACATCTGTTTAAAACTGTGCCAGTCATTCCTGTGAAAAATGGTATTTCAGTGCAGAGCTGTCTGCCAGAATAGACAAAGATTTAGAAATAGTTTCCTTTTCACTGTCTCTCTGCTTTTGTGAGGTGATAGTTTCTAGAGCGACAGGATGAATCTTCAGCAGGAGGCTAAACATTTCAGCAGCTCCACGCGCTGTAGACCTTTGAATCTATGGGGCATAAACGGATGAAGACAATAGGTTAAATACTATTCTACCATACTAAAGCGCATACCATGGACTAAGATGAAAAGAACTGTAACTCAAAAGTGTTTTGCCGGGCGTTTTTCAAAGGTTTTGTTCATCCTTTTGCCAACAGTAGAACACACATTGGTTGATAGATCTACCATTTTCATTGCTGTTTGAGCACTCTCTTCTACTTATTTGTCTCTGCATACCGTGAAGCTGTGTGTTTTTCTTTCACATTGACCTGTAAATGAAGAGTAAATAAAGCAGAGTAAATGGTGCATAGTCCGCACACAGGTGAGAAGGACACTGCAAACCAACCGTCCAAACAAAGAAACCGTTTTAGACACCAGCTTCTTCCTCTGAGTTTTTCTTCTCAGGGTAGCGCTTAAAATCAGTCACACTCAGGGATAAGGAGCTAACCAGTTGTCATCCTCTTACTAATAACATTGGGACTAGAAAAGATACAGTTGTGATCCAGCCAGTGGTTATGTTGGTGGCTTTACAACAGCAAAATATCGTAATTTCAACAGAACACAAACAAAACTAGCCACAACCAACATTAGCTACAATTATACGAAAGTTAGTTACTTCATCAAACAAAGCTTCCAGCACCACCTACTTCCGACACACAAATGAATTTCGCTGTACCACACACACTGGTGTAACAAGACTTAAAAAACAACTATTATTATTACTACTTTCATTTGCTTTTGGGATTTTGTTTTCTGAAACTGAAAAAAGCCATCAGTTGACAACAATCAGCCTTGTAGAAAAGGTTTAGAGACATTTTTTAGGGCTCAGCAAACATGAATACATACACTGATCAAGCACTGACGCTCTCTTATTGAAGAAACTGAATTAATTTACGTAATTCCCAGGACAAACCTTCTAAAAGACACAGGAGGCAGTTATGCATGAATTCAAGGACTACATGGAAGTGCAGTAAGACATAAGCAGGGGGTCGGGGTGTGGATCGCAACTGAAGCTGTGGCTGGGATTTTTAATGACTGACTGCGGTGAGGCATGGAGGAGGTCCATTGTGTCCAGATCTGCAGCGTCTTAGCTGGCTGCAGCAGCAACCGCGCACAAGGCACTGCACACTTGGGCATAGGCTTTGATATACAACTGCTCCCAAAGCAGATGGAGACAGAAAGGAAGAGGGTAAAGAAATAAAATTGTTAAGGGATTATAGGGACAAAAACTTAGAAAGGAGACAGACCAGGAAAGGGGATAACCAACATAGCTAAAGCTGTATTAAGTAACAGAGCTTTATTTTGTTCTTTGAATGTGTGTGTGTATGTGTGTACTTGTATTTATGTGTGTGTGAGAAAGAAAGAGGAAAAGAGGGAAAGAATCACCAAATCATATTAGCAGCCTGTACCCCCCCTTGTCCAGAGCAGCCAGGCTGGAGTTGGGGTGGGATATGCAAATACAGGCTGTCCCGTCTGCCTGCCCCTTCAGAGGCAGCAGAGCAGCACGCTGCTTCTTGCATACACACCCTCACTCATGCAGAGTGCAGAGGACTTGGAGGGTCGAGCCTAGTCAGCAGGTCTCACACACGCTTGCATGTGTGTGTGTGTGTGTGGAGCTGAAACTTTTTTTTAGAGACACATTCACACTCTCTTCCCTCCTTCTGTCCTCTGTCCTGCTCTCCTTTTTCAACTTTCCCCTCCTCCAGCACACCTTTGTGTTGTTTTCCTTGCCCCTCTTCCTCTCCCCTCCCTCTTCAGCCTCACTAGTTTTCCCTCTGCTCTGTCCTATGTGCTCAGACTGTGGTTAGAGTGCGAACTGAAAGCGTGCTGCACGAGATGCTGCTGATGTTACAGCTGTTTGGGCTCCATGTCTCTTTCAGGGCCCACTGAAGAAGACAAGACTGCACATGAGCCGGGGGACTTCAACACTACAGAGAAACCTACAGCTATCACTTTTCCCCTCTTTTCCTAACCAGCCAGTTGCATTTTCAAGACTTTGGAATTTATTGAGCTTTTAAAGACGTAGGGACAAAACAAAAAAAATAACAATGAGGACCAAGTTGTGTCAACTGGTTGCACAGTTCCTTCTCTTAGGACAGTTGCTATCTGTGGTGGACAGTAAAGGAACTTTCTATGGAGGTCATGTCAACCCTTTCTATGGAAACAGATACAACCTGTACAAGGCTGGACTCAACCCTCACCATTCACCAAACAAGCCCATGACCCGTCACAAGTAAGTGCTACGTTTTGGACATGTCACAGGCGCTAATGCACATTTTATTTCCCTTCCCACACTCCAGGGTATTGAATTCAAAAATCATTCCAAGTAGCTAGAGTGCTTGCAAGCAGGACCCACCTCATACTGTATTTCCCTTGAGAAAGACATGTCACCAGCGAGTTCGCAGAAATATGGTTTTAGTTAGGGCATCGGCTTCGTAACAGATCCCTGAATTGACTCTCTGTTTCTCTCTCTTACTCACCATCAGCCCTTTGCTGTGGTTCACACCTAAAACCATCTGTGGCTGGGGATAAACATTATAGAGCAACATTGACATGCTGCCTTATGAAAACAAAGCCGTTATTATGGTCCTTTATGGTGCAGCAAGGGGGTTGCTGAGTTGATGACAAGAGTATTGATCCCTCACAGCCGCTGTGTGTGTGTGTGTGTGTGTGTGTGTGTGTGTTTTGGGACGGGGGGTCAATTAGAGACTTACAGTACAACTGGGCACGCGCTACAAGAAGGGAGTGGTACAACAAATCTCCAATCAATATTAAAACAATAACAGTGGTTTGAACTGAGTTTGCATTGAAATTGCTTAACTCTTTCAGTATCCACAAGAAGAGGTGATGCATCTTCTTTTTTTTCTGTTTTTACTTACAATACAGTGGACTGATATTGTCAGGAGCACATGAGCAGAGAGGAACAACAATCTGCATGCTATTTGAAAGCCATGAAGCCATGAGATGAAAAGAGCCCTGCAGATATATTTTGCATGGATAGAGATGGCTGATGTTTGGCCTGCAGGGCTCTTTCGGTTTTTCCTCCCTTTCCCGTCTCTTTTGCTTGGGTTCCCTTGAGAGCTGTTATGTCTTTGGACAGCTCCCCAGCTACCTGCTGCTTCACTCAAACTGCCACAGAACACTGCTGATCGCCCAGCCCTGCTTAGTCTGCCATGTACCCTCACCTCCAGGGAACAGCATCCTTTACCCACATTTAGTCTCCAAATTTAACTTTCTCACCTAATATAACCTTCACCCATCTATCTCTTTACCTCCATTTACAGTCAGCATGTCATCATATGTTTACTCCACTTGTAACTTTTTTTCCTCCTCGTGATCACTGCTGGGCAAAATGTCATTTATTACTCATTGAAAAAGTAATTGCATTACTTTGCTAATTACGTTTTGCAAAAGTGATCAGCTACTTTACTTGTTACTTTATTTATGTCACTCAGTGCATCTCAGTTAAAGGTGCCTTTAAACTACATTTAGGGTATTTATATTCTATGTTTTATGCTTATTTTTTTATTTTAGTCTTTTTATATGTTGCTTTGTTGCTGGAAGGTGCTTTATAAATAAACATTGCTTTTGCTGTATGCCCTGCCTCTTATTTTCCCCCAAATCTGATACTTTAAACTTTGCTGCTTGTGTCTAATGCAGGCTGGTGGCACATGACAGCGGCATACATTTACTTTTCGACTTTCTGAGGTTTTTACCAGACGTTATAGATTGCTCTAATCGAAACAAACTGATCAGTAATGACAGATGGTTAGTCACTGCTTGTTTCTGGTAGCTGGTAATATTCGCCCACATGTGTCTGTGTCCAACTATAGTGTTGACACAAGAGCTGCTGACCCTCCTTGGACACAGTGGGCCCCAGGGACATGTCAGTGTCAGACCACCACTACAGATATATGAGCTCAGTTGTTGTCGGCCCGACTGGTCAGTGGAAATAGAGACTTAAAAATAACACATGCTTTGACTTGTGTTGTGTGTGTGTGTGTGTGTGTGTGTGTGTGTGTGTGGGTGTTTGTTTATGTGTATTTTTGTGATGGATGCTTACAGCTTATAAATACAAATTGTTGTCTCTGACTGACCACACAGTCACGTGGACGAAACACGCCTGTTTTCTTTTTTTTAGATATTTTATAATTCTCAGCTGTTGAGGCACCGCAGACTTTTTTTTCTTCATGTTGAATTATTATCTGTGTTTTGGCAGCAAAGCGAGTGATTTGATTTCACAGTCATTCCTTTCACTCAGTGCAACCACTTGCTGCTGTGAGAAAATATATAGCCCTCTAGTCACCGACTGTGGCATCTCAGACAGTTACAATGCCGTACCTGTCAGAGCTTTATTGCATAGAAGCTTACGCCGGGCTATGGCTGCAACTGTGCATTGGTGGCTTAGTTCAGATTTCCTTGAGGGTGTTTTGGCCCATGGCTTTGGCAATGCGGCAAACAATAATTCAAAGTTGTCATTTTTGACATTGACATCTTCATCTCCAAGAGAAAATGAGAGAAACTGTTTATTTGTTGGCATGCTTACACTGTGGAAGCTATCTCTATGCTTAAAAGCAAACATAAAAATGTCTAGCATCTCACAAGCGTCTCTCAGCATGCTGTGCTGTGACATACCACTATAAAACAAAGTGCAGAACAACAGGTGAAACATAATCCAAGAGACATTTACCCATCACTGGGAAATTGGTTTTGTATAAATCAATTAGTATCCCAGCAGATGCCGCATGTCTTCACTGATCAGATTAGAGACATATCCGAGGGCTTTTTCCGATGATGTATGGGACAGAGATCAAGGGGGAAAGGTCAGTGAGTTGATGGAGGTTAGAGGTTATGGGTTGCTGTTGTAAGTTTGTGTTTGAGTGTCCAGTGGAGGACAAGAACGGAGCCAACCTCCTGCTAAGGGTCACAGAGGCTGGGCAATGAATTCCCAAGCTCCTTATCAACAAATATTTCTCTAACTATTGCTTTCACTGACCTTTCTGCTAAAATGTTCAAGATTTGCATGTAAACACTCAGTGATCAGGGGTGTTGGTGTGGGCTAATACACTCAGAGTTTCAAGTAAGCATGTGTTAATTCAAGATTATCGTTTATCATCTTTTAATAGAATCATAACATGATGAAATTATTTCATGGTGTTTTCGATGGACCAATTTTATTTTATTTTTAAATAAATAGTTTCGACTTTTTTCATCATTAAATCACTCACTGTTAAATATGATGCTTGCTTATCTGAGCATAAAAAATACATATAACGTGTTAATGTGTTCTTACTTTAGCATAAGAAAAACAATATAAAATGTGAGCTTGTTAACCTTTGGACAAGGCCAGGCTAGCTGTGTCCTCTTACGCTTGACCTAATCTCCTGCTAGCTGTAGCTTCATATTTAGCTCACATACACTCACAAGACAGGTATTGATCTTCTCATCAAACTCTCTGCAAGAAGCATAGAATAAGCATAGTTCCCAAAATGTTAAGCTATTCCTTTCAATTTTCTTATTTTACATTTGTAAAGGAACCCTGAGATACTTGAACTCCTTCACCTGGGGCAGCAACTTACTCCCAAAGAAGTATATTGTCTATCTATCTACCTGGTAGCTGCCAGGTGCTAATCAAAGTTACACAACGTTGCCAAGAAAATTAATTCTTGCAGTTTGACCATTTCTTTTTCACATGTTGTTATATCTTTACCTTCTGGACATTAAGTAAACTATTAAGCAAACTTACATACAGCAGTAATACACGCACATGCGTAGGCTATACGTACATGCCAAGCGAGAATTGCGGACAAAACAACAAAAATAAACAACAAAGCTAACAACATGAAAAAACACTTACCAGCATCCAACATATTACTCTCGTTATTTAATTGGCTTTAAATGAGGCTTAACGTTCACATAGTTTCCCTCAACTGTCCCTCCATATTACAACATTAGGCCGAAGTCCCCAGTCTGAGATTTTAGCCACTTAGCAACGTGCTAATGTAAAGTTCAACAGACGTGGTGTTACGGACAGTCAGTAACGTTATCGATCAATCATTGAGCTTGAATATTTCATACATAATCAAAGATGATTTCTGACAATATAGCATATATCCAAAAACGCCTGGTCTGCATACGTCCCTCCCGCCCCTGAAAATAATGGATTTAGATAAGGTAATATCAGCGATTGTCCAACCAAATTGTGACCCTATCGACCGAACAATTGACCAACCAACCAAAAAGTGTCAGCCCTAGATTTTCCATATCATGGCCTACAAAGTCAAGGTCATGATACCAGCTCCGGACTAGCCGGAGTTCGTTTTTCAAAGAACTATTTAAACATACTGAAAGAGACGCCACATGACCTACTGTTGAAAAAGGCTCTGTTCCAAGGTTGTATTTTTGGTTTAGTTTTTTATGTCACAAATATCAGTGGGATTTTAAATGAGCTTTTTGTCCTTCTGGAACAGAACCTTGAAGTTCTGGTTTTAATTTCAACCATATTGCCCAGCCCTAGTATCAGGCTACCCATCTCTTTCAGCAGCACAATGGTATCATGAGTTACGTAATACTCTTACTTTCCAAGAGTGTTGCTTTCGTTTGTTTAGAATGCATATTCTGTACAACACAATGCTATTGATTTTATTCCTAAGCGCAAACAGCCTAACAAATCTAACTATTCTGTTTTGACTACCCTTTTATTTAAAAACACAAAAAGCTATTCTTACTCAAAGAAGATTATGTGCTTTGGAAAATGCCTGAGGATCAGGTTGGTGTGTTTTTCACTACTGGTGTTTGAGCCTCTTTTTGCACTCCAACATAACTATAACACAACAAAACAACATAAACAATGACTGTCCAATAAAGCAATTTATAAGCAGTAGTAGTTAGCAAAGGAAAAGGCACTAATAAGAGTAAACTGTAAACAGTGTCCATATCTACATGGTCTTATTGCTGTATTACGGATTAGAGGCTGATAGCCAAAATTTAAGCACATGTAAAAGTAATGGTCTGCCTTTAAGCAATAATGACCGGAGCTGGCAGTGTGATCCCTTGGTTCTAGAGCTGGGAGTATCTCATCTTTCCTTAAACACTAATCAGTAGCCACAAGAGCAACGTCAATCAACCCTGCACCATGGGGCCTTCAAAACCTGCCAGTTGGCTCAAAGTAGGTTTCATTAAAAGCATATATGGAAAGAGATGGGCCCTGGAGGAGAGTTGTTAGCCCATAGACACGGTTGTTAAAGGTCCTATTAAAGATTGCATGGTTTTCTAGCTGGCCTGCATCAGTCATAAATCTGTCAGAGGCAACAGCAGTGGCCTGGGTTCAAACAGTCAGGAACCCTGCAGGTGAGAGAGTGGTCAGTAATGAGGAAGGTGAGCCCTTTAGTGCCACAGCGTCAAAACAATGGAGGCAATGAAAGGAAAAGTGGCAAGTTCGAAGGCTGGACATGTCAGGGTCACGATGAGGCAACACAGAGGGGCTTCATGTAAAATCAAAAAAACACAGTATTAGAAACAGAGGCAGGAGCATGGACTGGTATGCTTAGATAAGTAAACAGAGATTACCTGCCGTTTGCAGATTTTGCAGAAAAAAGGAAAGGAACATTATGAGAAAAACGGGGTTTGAAAGGTGAGTTGTTTTGGGCCCAGCAGAGGGTGGAGGTCTAGCAGCAATAATATTTGCCGAAAACGCTCCACATGAGAATCTGGGATGGGAATTCTGCTTTCCCCCTGGGAAACTGTGAAGCGATTTAGGAACTGAAATGCTATACTGGAAATATTTACAGTGGGACCAGACTAGCAGTCAAAAAATGACACGCTGCAATGACAGAAAAAAGACAATATTTTGGCATCAAAAGGGGGAAGTGTGTTAGGAGAGAGAGAGGGAAGTGAGGCAAAAGAAAGAGTGTGGCTTTCCATGGTGAAAGGAGGTGAAGATTGTTTTGATATTGTTTGGGGGGGGAAGAGAGTAAGATCTGAGGACATGGGAGGTGCATAAGAGAGTTTAATACACTGATGAATTTGAGTTAGTCAGTTGGGGTTGGGTGGTTCAGTGAGGGTGTGGATCAACTGGAGACATTGACTTTTTCAGCATTTTGGGTGTTGTGAACTTGCTGTTTACACTTGTAAAAAATTGTATAACACACAAGAGAATTTTTTTTTACATGTATAAAAAGAGTTAGAAAGATTGGGAAATATCTCAAATACAATTTACAACAACTGTAGAGTAATATGCAGGAAGCCAATTTGCATTTTAAAGAGCATTTTAGTGGATCTGTACTGTGAAAGAGTCAAACAAGCAATGAGTAACAACTGACTCAGACCTGGGCTAGTTAGCACGGAAGTCCCAAAAGGCCTTATTTTGTTTTAAACTGCATACTAGTTGTGGAGGAATGTAATCACATAATACATTTGGTAAGGTTGGTAAGTTCAGTTAAAGAAAGCATACTAATCAGCTGCAGTTAAAGATTGTTAGTAATGCTAGCGGTATGGCGGGATGGCAATGTCCGTTGATCTATTGGATGGATTGCCATGAAATTTGGTACACACATTCATGCCCCCCTCAGCATTAAGTGTGATAATTTTGGTGGCCTTTAATCTAATTCCATTATCAGATCAAAGTTTTAATTTGTCCAACACTTTGGTTTATGACCAAATATCTTCTTCAGTTGTATTTAGTGCTAATTAGCAAATGTTGGCAAGATGGTGAACATGGAAGACATTTTTGCTTGTTAGCACCATTTGTGCCAAAGTACAGCCTCGCAGAGAAGCTAGCATGGCTGTAGACTCTTGTTAGGATTTATTATGTATTGGTGATTTCCTATTCATCTGATCCTTTTCACTCAGGTCCTCTGACCAGATGCTTTTGCCTGTCCCAGGGGCAAAGTTAAAGTTAAAGGTTTATCATGCCTTTGCTGTTGCTGCCCCAAAGCTAGGAAATAGTTCACCTGCCCTCAATTGACATCAATCTTGTTTGAAAACCATACATTTCTCTTTGACAAGCTAGTCAGATTGTGCACAATAGCATGATACCTTGCATATTTTAAAAATAATGTCTGTCATGCTTTTTTTATTGTTACTGTTAATCATAATTACTGCAATTTCAATTACCCTACTGTTTTTTTTCAATGTTTTTTTTTTTTTTTATGTGAGTCATAAATAATTTAAGTGACTTTTACTGTCTGGCACCTACTGGGTAATCCTGTGTGGCCAACCCATCCCATCTGTCACCAGTGAGTACAAAAACAAGCATCAGAAAGTATTTATACTTTGTAAAAGCAGTCTCCTTGTGCCACACTGGTTGACGGATGAGGTGTGAAAATAGCTCAGAGAAGACCAGCACTCCCCTCTCTCTCTTTTTATCCTTCCTCTCCCCATTATCTTAGATCCTACTGGATCAGGTACCCTGCAGCAGCTGGATGTGGCTGAGACATTTGCAAACACTAAAGACAGCACTTTTCTTCTCACATATGACAGCTTACACCACTTTGGTTTGTATTTCTGGTGAGAAGTCTCATATAATCCTTATCCTGCAGAGCTGTGTGGTCTCTGTGGATGTGAGATGAAAGGGCCGAGCGCTTCATCGCATGTGTATATGTGCCTGTGTGAGCACGCGTGTGAGTGCAGCTCACAGACAATATCACTATCTCTCAAGTTGAAACTCAACATTCTTCCTATAAAGATTTGTTTTTACACAGCAGAGGAGGTGACCTACAGTTGCCCTGACCGACACTGCAGCGCAGAGGGACAGGATTTATCTCAGCACTCGACTTTGATTCTCACAAAGCCAGAACCCCTCTGTCTGTAAGACAGTGAGGATAAAATATCACTCACAGACCCAAATGACATTGACAGATCTGCGAAAACAGGCAAAGAGCAGACTGGGGACAGAGAGGCAGAAACAGAGATCAGGGGAAGGTTTTTTTTTTTATCCCTTGTACATCTGGATTCCTGTAGTTTTCAGGCATTCTGTGTGAGTCTGAAGGTCACTGGCTCCCCCCAGATGTGCACCTGACAAACAAATTGGTGAACATGGTCACTTTTCACTCTTCCAATCAGCTCTGCATGTAAAGTGAGAAGGGTCACACACTTACTGTACTGTATACACAGACATACTCATGCAATGTGCTCTCCCTCAACTGTCAGAAATACTTGTATGCGTATAGAAGCTTTTCTCTCTCACACACAAATAACAAAGCCATAAAGGTCCTTGTTGCAGTCGATAAATCTGTCATGTATATCAATTAAACACTACTAAAGTTTTACCATATACTTCAACCAATCACTCTAGTTCTGAAACTCTCTGGATGACAGCATCGTCAGTTTTTCTTTACCATCACCATGTGAATGTGATCTTGTACAAATATAGAAAAAATAATAATAAGAAGAATGAAGAAAGAAAATGTCATTTATTTTGGCGCTCTGTCTATTCTGTGAGCAGCAGATGAGAGCAGAGGGAGTGACAACTGTTAACCCCCCCCCCAGGAATCGTAAAGAAAAGAGCCTGCAGGTGGGGTGGTGGTGAGAAAAAAATGCATGAAAGCAATTTTTTTAGCAGCATTGTAACATCAGCAGAATGAGTTTTCAGCAGCACCTTTTGTGTTGCCATATATTGGCACCATCTGATGAAAATAATGTTTAAAGATTTCCAAGACTGCCAATACTTCCTTGTTTTTCCGCTATTAAATCATCTGCAGCAACCAGTAAATTGCCTGAGTGAGTTTAGAGTGCTTTAAGAACTCCCATCATACCACATCAGTTCAGGTCATAACCGCCACTTCCTTAACAACGCACGACCTGGCAGCAGATTGTCAGGCTGGTATGAAAGGAGCTCTGTCATTCTGACTCCTGCCCTTTTCCTTCCACCGCTATTAACATATGTCAACACAGGGAGAGTGGTCACACACACGCACGCTCGCACACAAACGCTGTCAACACAGTCAGCGATTTGCAGAAAGCAGCAGTGCAGTGATTTCTCACAGATTCAGACAGGCTGTCCTGCCTGTTAGCCCTCTGAACCTGTTAACTTGGCATGTAGACCCTCCTCAGCCTCTGTGTCCCTCCCTGCTCCATCCAAACACTTCTATTTGTCCTGAAACAGCTGTGGAGCAACATTAAGTACTGCATGTGTTGCTAAACACTCCCCACTGAATGTAAGAAATGCTTCACATGTGAGCCTAAAGCGCACAGATCATCATTTCCTGTGTTGCACGGGGGCCAGGGGAACATTCAGCAGTCGCTGTAGCTGCACTGGCAACGAAGCGAGAGAAGGAGAGAGAAGGTCCAGCTCCAGCATGATGCAACAACTGCTCAAAGTAGTTATAGTGAAGTTATTACGTGTCGTATTCTTGACATATCAGAGCACTTTTGGGATTGAAAACAGTCTCAGTGGTATTTCTTTTTTCTTGTCTGTATATGATTTCAGCTCAGTTTTGATCATTGTAAATCAATGAACATGTCAATAAGAAATGTGTTTTGAGTTAGTAGGGAAGTTGCTGCATTACCATTGTGAACTCAAGGGAAACTATTGACAATCCATCCAGACAAAGCTCTACAAATATCCGCTGCCATCATTCTGCTTAATGCCAGAGGTTTCCATAAATTTGTGGTTTTTAAGATTAAACAGTAAAACCTACTCAATATAATTTATCTAAATGCAATACAAAGCTCTTCTATGAAAACCCACTTGCAAGATCTGGTTATAGGTTGGAAACCAAAAATGCAATTTGAAATAAATAAATATCATCTGAGGCATCCATTATGACGAACAGAAATGATTTCTAAGATAGAAAATATCACAAGCAACTATTTGTTTGCTTAAAGTAATTTTTGAGAGAAGAAATAACACATTCTTCCTTCTACAATTCATACGTTGAAATAATAATAATTAACTTAATACACTGAGATTTGCTGGTACAACCTCACATGCTATTATGGTGGCTAATGTTGGCTAATGTTAGGTATGTTAGGCATTTACAACCATCTACAGTTGTTGCTGTTCAGCTATTCTAACTTTAATACACTTACTTTGACAGGAACAGAGCAAAACAAGGGCTGTAGTCATCTTTAATGAGATGGGTATTGCAGTGACGTATCAGTGCTGTAACTTGTTTAACTCTAATGTCTATCTATTGTCCCCGCAGGAACCACTGTGCCTATGTGGTCCAGAAGAACATCACATGCACCATGCAGGATGGAGTAGCTACCTACGTGAAGGCTGAGTACACCACCAAGTGCATCTGGGGTCAGAAGTGTCCTGTCGTGATGTATGTTTTTCAAACATCAAAATCCAATAAATGAAACATTTAAAGTGCCACCTCAAACCTTTAACAGTTCAGTCTAAGTCCTAAAGAGATTGTGAAGTTTAAAATGTGTTATTATTTCTTCACATTAAGTTAACTTCAGTATGGTAAACTATGTAGAACATAAACTATATCAATGCTGCCCTCTAGTGTTCACATGATGAGCTGTCTGTACATGCATGCACAAGTTCTTCTGCAGAGAAATGTCATTGGGAGAAATGCTGTTAATTCACCTAAAAAATAAAAAAATAAAACCACCTAACTTTATGAAATTATAAAAGCAACACAAAGTTAACTTAACTTTATCTACTGCAGATGCACTTATGAAGAAAGACTATATGTGATTTTGTAATTCTTTTTAATATTAATTTCAAAACACACAGGGAAATTAAAGGAGTGGATCTGCTCCAGCCCTCTTAAACCACCAAAGAATAAGCAGTTATAGATAATGAATGGATTTACTCTTCAAAAAAGACAGAACTGAACAGACTGAATTACTGTGTGTTTGTGTGTGTGTAAGAAAGAGAGAGTTTGATTCACAATCATAAAGACATTAAGCTTAAACAAGATAACAACGAATTGGGTGCTGACCGTGGTTCAATCCCCTGATGCCACATCATTTATGTTACACGTCATCTTAATCTCCTAATCTCACTCTAATCCATGTTTAATCCCATAGAGAACAACTTTATCCCTTTATCTCTGCTTTGCACCTTCAATTTTTTATCCTCTGTTCTGACTCTGTTGTTCTTTAATTAGTGAAAACAAGTGCAGCTATTCTGATAGAATATCTGATATGACCATTGTAACATACTCTTAAGATCTGATTGTAAACATATTTTCTATCATATTTCCTTCAGGTACAGGACATTCTACAAGCCAAAGTACAAGGTGGGTTATAAGACAGTGACTGAGCTGGAGTGGAGATGTTGTCCTGGCTACTCTGGAGAAAGCTGCTATGATGGACCCACATCGCTGCCTGATGTCATGATGCCACCTTTCAAGGGTGCTGGTCAGCCCCATCGCCCAGGGATGAAGGGCTTCCCCCACGGCCCTCGACCCCCTGTGGACCAGCGGCCTGGTGGAGGCACGCTGGAGCCTGGCAAACCCTTCCCCGGTGTGCCTGACCACAGACCAATACCAACAGGACAGCTGCCCGCTGGGAATGGAAGACCAAACTATGGTGAGAACTGACACCTCTAATTTCATGTAAAGCCCTGGAGTTTAAACTTGCACTATTGCTGTTTGTGTGTGCATTTGAGCAAGCTTTTAAACACCCTCAATGTTGCATGATTCCTTCTTTAGTGCTCCTAAAAAATAAAATCTCCCTTTTTGTTTGATCCTTGGAAATACAGGAAACAAATTTGGGATTTCAGGAGTGACTGGTGAACGTTTGGACCGTATGGAGGAGGACCTGCGTCGTCTCACTCAGGGTCTGGACACTCTCAATGGAGTGGTGGAAGGCCTTGAGGAGCGTCTGCGCACATCTCTACGGGAAGACACCAACAAAATCCTGGTGTCCCTGCTACCCAATGCTCCCCGTGTGCCTGACTCTACCGTGGGATTTGGCGTGATCCCAGATGGGACTCCTGATGGGCTGGAAGGAGGAGAAACCTTCACTGGTTTTGGAGACTTAGTAGGGAGGGTGACAGAAGTGAGGGATGATCTGCGAGCAAAAACTCACATCTTAGAGGAGATTCAGGTACTGCACCAATAACGCCTGTACAAAGATCAGTCGATACAGTAACATTGCAGATTAATCAGGCCTTAGTTCTCCTCCTCCTTCATTAAATGCTAATTGTTCTCCCTCTCATCTGTATGTGTCCTTAGGGGATGGTCCTGGGTCATGATGGCCAGTTGAAGAGGCTGTTGGAAGGAGCTAAAGGCAGGCCCATCCCTGGCCCCAGCTCCAATGCTCAGCTGGACGAGATCCTGGATGCCAAGCTGGCTGGAGTGCGTGCTGAGATCTTGGATGGCTTTGAGCGCCGTCTGACTGGCCTGGAGAACCACTGTGACACAAAGATTGGGGAGGTGCAGAAGCAGTGCCATAGGGATCACATGGACGGCCAAGAGCAGATGCAGCAGTCTCTGGATGGAAGAGAGACTGGGCTCAGGGAGGAGTTGGGCTCTCTGCAGGCTCAGATCCAAGGTCTAACTCTCACTGAGAGCTGCTGTGGACAGGTATGATCTGTCAAGTGAATATTTCCTAAATAAATTTACTCATGGGGTTTTCGATGTAGGGAAAACTCTTATATAATAATAATAATGTACACAGAATATAGAGAAGTTTAAAATAATGTTTTTTTAATGTTTATTTAATCTTTAACAAAATCTAGATTTTGTGGTTTTACAAGTTTTACAAGTCTACAAGTTGTTAGACAACCAGTGGAGACTCTGGGAAGTCAATGTGCCCAGCCTAGAAATAGTCCCACTATTACACTTTGTTCTTTGTAGAGATTAAACCAATGAGATATATAATGTTAATTGGTCAGCTTTAGAGGTGCTGGTAGGCAGATGTATTTACCTTTTGAGAGAATCAGACTAGCCCTGTAAATGTTTCCCCGTTTTCAGGCTTCCAGCTAAGCTAAGCTAACCAGTTGTAAATTGCCAGTACCATCATATTTATTGCTAAACGTTCAAGGGATATTGATCTTCTCATCTAACTCTTTGCAAGAAAGCGAATAAGCGTATTTCCCAAAATGTCAGACTATTTCTTTAAAGGTGGGGTCAGTCAATCTGGAGGAACATAGTTGGCCCTTTAGTCTCATTCACAGTTGTCAGATACAGATACTTTTGGGCTTCTTGTATAGTTCACTCCGAGCCATTTTGTTATTTTGTTGTTATTTGATGACCAGAAAATGACACTGAACAACCAATTGTCTTACTCCAGAATGGCCACGCTCATCTTTAACTAAATACTGTAAATTTCAGACTAGTGTACGCTACAGAGAGAACAACATCTCTGCGTATCAATCATGTATGACTGGACATTTTATTGCAATGCCAATGAACTAATAGGTTATTGATTATTGCAGGTGAACAGCCTTTCCCAGCGTGTGCTGATGCTGGAGGAGTCAGTCAAAGGTTTGACAGAATCTCAGAGACAGCTACAGACTGCTCTCACTGACCAGAGCATACACGTGGAGACACTGATCGAGACCCGCCTGGTGGACATAGAGGGCCGCCTCAATGCCACAGAGGGTGGACCTGATGGAGTAGCAGGACTCCCTGGTGGTCTGGATGGCTTCAAGACCATGCTGGAGGACAAGCTGAAGACCCTGGAAGAGAGAGTGTTTGTGGCTGTTGAGGAGCTAAGTAATGCCACTGCTCCGGCACTCCTCGAGGGTCAGGTGGTCCCAGCACTGGAGACAGAAATTGAGTCTGTGAGGAGGAGAGTGGAGGGAGACTTGGATGGCATTCAGAAACAGTTAATAGATCTGGAGCTCCTCTGCACTTCCTCCTGCCCACCCTCCACGCCGCCAGCAGGGGGTGTCAGTATCACTGAAATAGAGGAGGAGTGTGAGGGGATGGAGAAGAAGATGACTGACCGCCTGAACACCCATTCTAACCAGCTGGACCGCCTAAACAGCACCTTGCAAAACCTACTCTTCCGTATCGCCCAGGAGGACACGGAGGGCTTAGTCCAGGGAGAGATTACCCTCCTGAAGGTCAACATCAACTCAGTGAACCGCACACTGAAGGGCCTCAAGGACTCTATTAGCTTTATTGCAAGTGAAGTGGGCCACGCTAACTCCACCTGGGAGCAGAGAGAGCACCAGCTAGTCAACCAGGTGCAAGGAATCACCAAACTAGTGGGCCATCAAGCCTCCCTCCTGGGGGCTGGGGAGAGGCGGCTGGCCCAGCTGAAGGGAGAACTAGTAGCCTTGAAGAGACGGCTGTCTGGGGAGCTGCAGGGCTGCAGGAGCACAGCAATAGAAGTACAGAAGGAGGTGAAGGATGTTGATAGCAGGGTGAGCCATGTAGAGGGCCAGTGCAGCAACCTAGGGGAGCTGGCAGAGCACCTGGAGAGGATCAGGGCAGAGCTGGAGAGGCACTCGGACTCCTACCTTGCCCAGGTGAATGGCACCCTGGCCAACCATTCAGAACAGCTAGCTGAGCTGAAAGGGGAGGTCAAAGACTGTGCCAGGGAAGCAGCCAACCAAAAAGGAGACCAGTAGCATTTGAGCTACAGAATTTTTCAAAAAGAGACTTGTGTGTGCTTCCCTTTAGGCTCAAGTGACTTCCTCTGCTTCTCTCCTCTCTCTTTCAAATGCCATCTGCACATATGCTAATTAATTGAACCGGTGAAAGTAATTTCCCATAAGCTCTCCACCCCAGTGCCTCCAGATGTCCTGGGAATTTAGATTAGTGAAGTGAGGAAGTCACAAAATACAAAGGCACACCTATGGTTGTATAGCTGGGCAATATTTTCCCTTGAGATTTTATTCTATAGGGCATTTATTTTTTCTCTGATCATGATTGTTTTGTTTTCACATTTTACTTTTTTTAACTTATATGAAGTGACTGCATTGTTATGATGTTAAACTGTTTGTATTAGAGAAATGATAACAAAACAAAGTGGATGATATGGGACTAATACGCTGCTACGGGTTTCTACTGACAAGCACACTTTACATCCTCTGTGTGGACACTTGTCTGGTATTTTTTGGAAAAAAACTGTATGTCATCTTGGTGCTATTTACATTTTTGTAAACTTCTGTTTTACACTTGTTTAAAAATGATATGTACTTGTGCTTTGACACTTGTGTTTGTTTTCTGCTGCATTGCTCCAAGATGCAAGAAGAAGTTCCAAAAGTCACCATTGGGGGACAGTGACAACACATGAGACATGGATGGCATGGTAGATGGAAAAAAAAATAAAGTCTAAAACACTCCAGGGTGGCACTGGTTTTTAGACACAATTTTGGCAATGTATGCCTCTTTTTAGAAGCCATGTGGGTAGCTGTATTCTGAAAATGACAATTCATTCAGTTCAATTCAATACAACTTATTGTATCCCTGTAAGGGGAATTGTATGCAGCTGCTCACCTACTGAGTTAATATAGGGATTATTATTGTCAGTAAATGAATGTGAGAACAAAAACTGGTAATTACAAGGCTAAAACAATCATGCTTTTAGTTAAAAAATTATGTGGAATTGGCAATAAATACATTGATAATAAATATAAATATACAAAAATATCTCAAAGGCATAAAGCATTAGCTATGAAAAACTGAGAAAGCATACTGGTTACACCAAATTCTACTTTCTCTTGATGGCAGCTGTTACTAAGGATTGTACCTCCATAGTATAAACCATCGCAATTGAAATTCACTTGCTAAGATGAGGTCAGGTGGGTTGAATATGCTCCTCGATTTCTTTATCATTTGTTGGTCACAAAAAGAACTTTGAACAGATCGTATTGTCCAGGCTGTCTCTGTCCTTCACCAACAGGCCATGGAAATAGCACATACAATAAAAGGTCAAATAAAAACTTTATTAAAATATATAAGAATAACTGAACTGATTGAAAAGTAGTAAAGTATTGGAGGAATGTAAACGCTTTTCTAGCCACCCTTGACAGTAAGTCATTTATCGTCAACACCCACTAAGGTTCCCCTGTTGAAGTCCATGTGACAAATGACGAGTCAAAATGTTAACCTGAAAATAATGAGCTTCTGAAAGCAGTTTTAAAAAACTGCATCACATTTATTTCTCTCAATATCTGTTATCACAGATTTAGGACAGCAAACAGATTTTGAATTATGACTAAGCCTGTAGTCAGGTTGCACTGTCTGCAGGTTTCACAGAATAGCTGCACATAGTTTAAGACAGCAACATCTCTCACTGATTAACTGGCTGTCAGCGTGTAATGGGGACCAGAAATGTATCATTAATATATGCTGTGCAGCATATTGGCGGGAGGAATCTGAGGTGTGACTGCACAGACTAAGCAGTTTTGTAGAGAAATTTATTTTTGTTGAAAACCCCTGACTTTACCAAATTGATACATAAAGGAAACAGTGCTCATTTGTTAAACACATAAATGAAACAGCTCAAGTTTATCTTACTAAAGTTGCAAACTGCTCCAGCTCACAAGACTGTGGTCACATGGAGCAGTCAGATGATGAGGTGAGGTCAATAGGTGAAAGTGTGGAGGATATTAGTGTTTATATAGAGTAAGAGGTCAGGCGAGACTCAATGATAATGAATGAAGCTGAGTGAAGTGATCTGTAAAAATTAGTTGACCTTGCACCACTGAAGCGCTGACAGCATGTCTTCTGTACAGCATCAGCACATAGTTTTTAAAGACAACATCTCTTAGTAACCAGAACAGGATGAAACAAATCACAGCATAATGAAAACCAGAGGCTAGACATAAAAATAAAAATGCTGGAGGGGCAATACAGAGCGGACGGAGAGAGTTGAGGTCACAGGCAAAGGCAAATACGGATATGCTGTATTGAGACACATAACTAGCTGAGGGATGATAGTGAGGTGATCATGAGCATGAGACAGGAGAAATAAAGTAGGATGGATGTAATGAGAATTTCTTTTTTAAAATAGTACAGCGAGATTGCGTTGGAGAGGAAAATGAGCAGAGACAATGGATGGCTGTGACAGTCAGTGGAGGGAGGAGGCAAGCGGAGAGGACGAGTCCGGCTCGCTGAAGATGAATACTCAAGCTGATAGACGGGAATGTGACAAGGGCAGGACAGGCATGAGAGCAAAGGATGGACATCGAGACAGAGAGCACAATAGTGTCAGTGAGGATAAGAATGTGAAAATGTGAAGCAGATGTGTTTACATCCTCCTCGTCCCTCAGCTGTATCCCTTGAATCCTGACAGGGAAGCAGGCAGCAGCCAAAACCGGAGCAGGAGGAAATACATGTCTGCTCAGACACACATGCACAAGCGTAAACTACAACACAAACAGCTACAGCTACAACAGGGCAAACAGCAGCAGTGCAAGTTTAAACCCCGGGGCCCCGGCAGCAGCTGGATGCTCTGCCGTCTCTTGGGAAGCAGCGCTACACAAAGCACTGTCCTATTGGTGACCTGGAGAAGACACAGCAGAAAGGGGAGGATGACGAGAGAAAATAGAATCAAAGAGGAGGGGGGGCACGTTGCTGTAATGCTTGGTAATGCTAATACCTGAGACCATGACAAACAGTTATGTAATACCAAGCGACGTTGTAAATTCATGTGACATCCACATGGACTCTTCCTCTGCATGCATCTTGTTTTTGCACATGCATGAGGCAGCACATACACACACACACAGCTTCCCATAAGGCACTGTTGTTCTCTATTATTCAAACATCTGATTTAACCAGAAGAGAGAGCATGAGCCCTTTAATGCATGATGTCAGCACATATATCATATAGAAGATACACAGAAAGATAAAAATTGTGGAAAGCTAAAGGGCACGTCTCTCTAGTTGTTCTTCAGTGTTGAGTGTGTGTGAAGAGAAAGCGCACACACATACACAGAGCACAGAGGAAGTGTAGATGAAGGCTGTGACATGATTCTGCACCAATGAAAGCCACACATTTAGTTATTCAGCCATTTCCTGATGCAGATTCGGGTTTAAGACACTGTATGAAGAAGTGGACTGACACAGACACACAATCAGCATACAAAGGCAAAGGCGCCACAAATGACATCAAAGCCTTTGATAAGCACAACACTCAAGGGGGTGCGTGTGGATGAAATAATAAGGGCTGTGTATGCGCTGGTGTGTGTTGTATACACATGCCAGGACAACTCTTCAGATCTCAAGAGCTGCCCTCTGTGTGTGTCTGACAGCTAAGTGACACTGAAGTTAGCATACCAAAGCCTTGTGTTTCCCAGACTCCATTAAGATGTGGCTGCTCCAGCCGGAATCTGTGCCTCTGCCAAGCCCCTCTCACACACACTGCAACTACTGTTACACAGCAGGAGAAGCAGGGGTATTTTTCAGGAGGGATAAATGAAGGTGTTTTTGCACATTTTCATATATAGTAGGCCTACATTATATTTATTACTGCAATTGCCATCTTTTTTATTATGCTTTGCTGAGGGAAACAGTGTGGGAAGTGGTGCACAAATACATTTAAACTCCCTTGTAGATATCTCATCCCTGCCACTTAGCATTTCCTTTTCCGAGAGCATAATTAAATTATCAGCTGTCACTTCGTTTAACTAGCGGAGATGCGCAGTTAATGTGCTAAATGCCACAGGGCTGGATGTGCTCCTATTCAATGAATCTTAAGTGACCTCTCTTGAAAGCATCTCATTCTGCACTTTTTTTTTTTTTCTATGGGTGACAGGCTGGACAATCCCAACAAGCATCATCTTTGTCTCAGGCTCCGGATGTGAACATGCACCAACACACACACACATACACAATCTGTCTGCAGAGCAATCAGAGTGACAAGAGTAGAAAGTGGGACTATTAAAAGAAGTGTTGTAAAGCAGGAATCTGGTCCTAAGATGCTGGGATTTTGATGGCAACTGTGGCTCACAAGAGCCCAGAACACAGACAGTAATCCTCTGTTTGGGCGAGTGTGTTTTAGAGGGGACGTGACGCTGTCTATATCCCTGCTTACAGTATAGAGCCCCTCGGTATTCACACAAGCATTTAGTCTTGGAACTAAAAGGAAACTTAGTAAAAGTATTGAATTATATTTTCTGAGGACTCGCAAACAATGTCACCGTCATTAAATGAAGTTAACAAGATAATTTTTTTTAATTTTTGCAGAACATCCTCTAGGACACTCTTCAGGGAACGTCTCCCAATCTTACCCACTATCATCACCTCTTAAAGGCCATGCAAGCTACAGAAAGTGACAGCAGTCCTTTGAAACTACACTATAATACTCCAAGTAGAGCTCTGGCACTGGCAGCTCTTGCTCTCACATTTTGTTCTCTGTGTTTTGTATGAGTAATCAGGGACCAACTTGTTACAATGTTGCATATGGCCTGCAGTTTGGTTTGTGTTCACAGGGCAGAATTTACAAGCGGACCAAAATCTGTGATGTGTGATGAAACTCTCTAATTAGTCAGAATTTCCATGCGGGATAACTCCCGGAAGTAAACAAAGAAGAGCAGACTCCAGAGCGCCACTTTTCAATTTTACAATGGAGGGACGACTACGCGGGTTGCTCTTGGCCCTGGTCGTCGTGTTGGGTCGGATCGAGGTTGGATCATGTTCTCACCACAAACTAACCCTACCAGAGTTTGTTTGGAACCGGACCGAGACCACCTCTTCAACAACAAGGTCTCGGTCCGGTTGTTTTGGTCCACACCTCAGTGCGATTGATGTGTTCACACCTTCCCAAATGAACTGCACCAAGGGGGTAAACGCTCTAGGGTTCGAGTCAACCGAACTAAACAAGGCAGTTGTGAAAACGCCCTAAGTGTGAAATAAATGTCTCTTTACAGGAAGCATGCCTCTGTGTGCATGTTTATACGCCGCAGCGGTCGTTGTATGCTGCGTAACCACATTATAATTCGGAACATTTCAAATAAAGTCGCTGACCCTACTGTAAGGAAATGGGTGGGCAGAGGCAGGCAGGTTCCTTGGAGCACACTGGAAGTAGATGGACCCTAACATGCACACAAAACTAAAACACAGGCCGAGACGGGGTACTGTATCTTTACAAGTTTCATTTTATTGGTGTACTTTGACAATAACAATGATGGTATAAAAGAAAATCTCCATCATACAAATTTCAATAATCAAAAGATAATATGCCGATACACAAACAGATCCACATAAGGCTGACATCAAGTTTTGACAAGTGGCTTCAAATGGCTTCAATTCAAGGAGAATTTCTCTCCTTACAATCAGAGAAGATATATTTTTAATTAAGCTATCTGTATCCTTTTTCTTTTTTTTATTAGTTAGCTTTCATACAAAAAAATTGAATCGGTGTTGATTTTAGAGTGGATTGTGTCGCTGGTTTGGGTGCCTATGTTTCATTACATTAAGCATATGGTGTTTTTGGCTGACACATTGGTATCCTGCAGTGTTTTCTGCAGACCTACACCTTAACCCAACTGCTGTCACCATCAAAGAGACATCAGACGCACGGACACTGAACTTCATCTGAAGATACATCTGCCATCATATGTCTCTTTAACTGCTACAGCATGTTAAGTACAGGGAGGCCTCTGGACTGCAGAACCCCTCAGAGATTGTGAGAGAAACCTAAAATTCAGGGATATGGATGTTTTTATTTTATTTTTTTTAAAAAGGCGGTGCTGGGAAGCAGTGATGTAAAAACATTGATGTCGCTGTGTAAGCTTCACTAGCACTTAAATGGCACCGGATCAACCCCCAGCCAAATCCCTCCAAAGCCTTGTTCTTTATGCTAGCATCTGTAGTGATTTTAAGACCTTATAGAATTTCTAAAACACTACACACAACAATATTTACAATGATCATTTTCTTGATATGCACTTTTTTCAATTTAAATATTTTTGCTTATAAAAAAAAAAAAAAAACTTGAGTGAAAAAAACACTGCAATAAATTAAGAAGCTTTAAGGCCGCCAGTCTTGTCAGATGCCCAAATAATGGTCCCTTCATTTAAACTGGCATAGAATGGATCAGAGCGGGTGAGACTATGGTATGGTGAAGCCTCTTGAGCGAGCAGTAGGCTCAGTCTTGGTCTGGATTGAGACCATGTACAGCATATATAACAGGAACAAGACTAGTCAGCATGCTCTTATCACCAACTGATAGCAATCCATTTCCTGTTGAAAATAAAAAGCAAGAGAGCATTGATTGATAAGCTCCTTGTTACTTCGTCATCGTCCTGCTGATTATGGTGTTGGCCGATGAAACTGCTCGTTCTATATCGTGGAGTATAAAGTCTAACAGCGAGTCAAAGAATATCTACGTCATCCAGAGGGCCTTATACGGAGAGGTTGCTCAAGGTCTGAATCTTCACCCGAAACACTCAAACTAAAACCATTTGGCTTTGCTATATGTCCATCTAGCTTTTAATTTAAAGCAATGTAAAAGTATAATATACAGTGTATCATTTAATTGTCAAGAACTAGAAAAAGAACCTGTTTTTTTTTTTCTTATCAGTGCTGAAAAACAAAATGAAAACAAAAATCTAGATGGAGGACAATAAAGACCTCCAAAAAAAGGTTCAGCCATTTCACTCAAACACACGTGGAAAAGAAAACTTAACACAAATGCTGCTACTGTCCATGGCTTCCACTGGGCACCTCCTGAGTGGTTGGCTAGGAGGTAAACACGTGCTTCTGTTTGTGGCGATGAACCAAAACAACAAGTAACACGAATTAGCTTCACCTGGCAGGATGAAAAGGCAACAGGATTACAAATGCATGCTCTAGTTTAATTAGAGCCATAGAAGTTCGAGGGACGTTTTGCCTGTTGATACTGGCCTTTGTGATGTTAGGATTGGTTCCAGTAAGCACGTAGAGACAGAATCCCTCAAAAGGGAGCTCTGGAAGGTCAGCACCATTGATTATCAATTTGTATAAAGGAGGTGCTCAGTGAAAGACAGTGACCACTAGCATGTTCTGATTAGGTATCTTGCTCTTCCTGTGGTTGTCACACAAAATGGCTTCCTCCAACGTGTCTGTTCAGCAGATTAATACACAGCAGGCTACCGTTCAATTTAATCTGAACCAGCTATTCGTGTCATTTCTGAGGAGGAAATCTGCATTTAAATGAAACGGAACAGCTCCTCGTTTACACAGACCTGAACCTCACAACTCCACACAAATACACATAACTGCAAGATTCAGTGCATCTAACACGGTCTGTCATACGTCACCCATTAACTCATCACATCAACCCGCAAGAAAAATAAAAATGGAACAATTACAGAAAATAATCCATAAAAGATCAAATAAATAAAACGAGGTCCTGCCTCTTTACTTCTTATTTCATTGTGGACACAACACAACAGTTTGTCAACCACCCACATATTCCCCGAAAGATACATAAGAAATGCATACAAGGCGATTTGTGTGAAATGAAGTAGCCGCATGACTAGAGGACAGACAGTGAGGACTAAGTGTCTGCGTGTTTTTTTTTTTTTTTTTTTTTTTAAACTACATTTACAGTATTGGGATATTTTACTCAAAATCAACACTGTCAAGCACACAAATCAGTGAAGGGACATTTTAGCTGTTGTGTACTGCCAGAGTGCTGTCAGTCTGTGTCAATGCAGATTGTTAGGCTGACATATGCCACCGAACAAAACCTCCACTTAGACCAACATCCCGTAATCGTATGATTTACACACAGAAACTCACTGGCCAAAGCCTGGCCACAAGCTAACAAAGCTAATCAGTGGTTTATTGTCTGAAGGCGTAAATAAGCACTCAGATCTGCTTTTTCCCTATCCAAGTCTAGATAAAGAAATGTCAGTTTAAAAAATAAAGGCAGCCATAGATTGGTTGTTGTAGAGATACAGTTTTCACAGCACCCACAGTGGAGGAGGGCTGGCTAACAGTATTACAAACACTAGACAATCTGAAAAATAACAAAGCAAAAGCTTCTGTAAACACCACTGACAGTGACAGCAATCAAGTATTCTCTACCGCCAATTCTCTCCCGTAAAAAATGAAGGTGAGTAAACATTAAGCATGTGGGATCTAAAAATAAAACGGCAGACAGTTTATCTCTCCCTGGCCTGGACTTACACACCGCACACTAAGTGAGGTCTAAAGTCAGTCAGTCACAGTTTCATGGTGAAATCTCCTGGAGGTCACCCTGAAGACCTTGCACTGACCACAGGATACATATAGGCCATTTGCATAGCTCTCCCTCACTTATACACACACACACAGACACAGACAAGGGTTCTGAAAAGGGTGGTAGGTTTGCTTAGGCAAAGGTGTGTTGAATGTGAAGTTTGCATATGCAGTCACTCCATCTCTGTAGTCCAATAAGGGTATGCTAGCACCCATGCTATTGCATCTGTATAGTGAGGAAGTCAGGGCTAAATTATGCTGTCTGATATTACAGCTTATTGCTAACAGGATGAGCATTGCACTCCAACATACAACCACTTGCAGGTGACCAGAACATCCAATCTAACTTTGCAAATACAAACATCACAGTCTTTAAATGGTATGTTCACAGGACAAAATATAGCTTGTAAGAGATGATTAAGGTATTAATATTCTCTAAACATAGGATAAACTATTTCACATACAGTATACATGACTGAAAACACTCACTCTTTTTTATTTCATTTTCTCTTGCTCTCCTCACTTGTAGATTTGGCATATCTTCTGCAGAACCAGCTGCAAGAGTCCACTCGGTTAAAGTTGCTGCATGGTGTTGTGTGCATGCAAATGTTTTCACAGGTTTACTGCATTTGTTAAAATAAGATAAGAACAACAGCAAAATAAAAAATTGAAGCTTCAGGGACCATGTCATGAATGTGCGTGCGTATTGTGGCCTATTTTAATAAACAAGCACAATAGTGTAGGGCTGAGCTAATAGTTGACTGAATAAGAAAATGAATGAATGAATGAATGGATGGATGGATGGATGGATGGATGGATGGATGGATGCTGAAGGCCAAAATGGTGCAAAAGGCATGTGGAGACTGAACACTAGATAAGCCCAGATGAGAGGAGTGATGGACTGTGGCACAAGCAAGTGCAGCATTTATCCTTAATTTCTTTTATGATTTATCCAACATACTTATTTGAGTCTCCTTTTTTTTTGCATACAAACAAAATAAACAAAGCAAATAATCAGTCAACTAAAAAGTTCTAAGCAGTGCTGCAACTGGTGAGATATGGCTGATGTCCCAAAGGACTTTGATTCCCAGGTGTTTTGCAGTCCAGCTGTGCCTACGTCAGTAGTCAGCTACGGGTGCAAGCTTTCTGCTCAAGCTGACTGTGATGTTGGTGTAGAGAGGCCTCCTGGACACTATGGGGGAGTAGTTTAGGTTGTTAAGACCATCCACTTTCTGTCTCTCCTTTGAATGGCGTAGTAAACTATACCTGCAAGAGCACACAATAAATCAGTCAGGAGAGGAGAGGAGAGGAGTATGCAACAGTTCTGTGCCCAGTGCATTGGAAAGTAAGTTTAAAAGTTCAGGTTAGACAAGTTTGATTGTTTATTAATGCTCCGTTGCCACTCAATGAGACGTTGTTGAAGAACAGGTTTCATCATCCTACACAGTCTTACGAGAAGCATATTGGCTGATACTGAGAGCGTCATTGTCTGTGACAGTTGCATATTTATACCCATGGGCAAGACGCAACATTGTTGACAAGAACACACTAGATTTTATTGAAGCTTCACAAAGACACATTTATATTCATATGTGTATTCAATATTTCATTTATTTTTTCTACCTAGTATCAACTTCTTGAAGTTTTATTAACAAATGAATGAAACATTTATTCCTTGGGCTGTTTTAAGTAACTTAGATTACAGCACAGAGATCATGATTGGAATTCAGGCCCGAAGCATACAAGCATATCACATGCAAAGTCTTTAAAAGAGTTGAAATTCTCTCAAAGTCACTGTTCTGGCTGCTCATGTGACTGGCTTACACCACATGAGCCTAAGCCTCATTCCAATTATCAGCTTCCACTTTTAACCAAAGGGTGTGTGTGTGTGTGTGTGTGTGTGTGTGTGTGTGTGTGTGTGTGTGTGTGTGTGTGTATGTGTGTGTTTGTGTGAGCATGCACAGATACTAACCTTCCCAGGAACTGGACTTCCCCGCGATGGTGATGAGGAATTGACATGTAGCGTCCCTGCTCTCCGTGTGGTCTACTTACGGTGTAATTGGCATACCGCACTCTGTACAAACATGTAATGCCCATTAATCCATTACACATGCAGGCTGAGCAAATACTGCAGTGATGACTTTCATTGTCATATTTTTTAAAGAAAGCATAATAGTAATCACTATTTTAAAACTGTGTGCAACATGATACAGACAAATAAAAACACATGAGGGGGAGGTTTGGCAGTAACTGCACATAAAAGGACTCTTTACATACGGAAACATTACACAGGCCAATCAATTAGAGTTTGCGGTGTATACTTAGAGCCGAGTGTGTACAGCTGCCTGTGGGCTGTGTAGGTGGGGGGGAGGGACAAAAACGGTGTGTGGCAAAGGAAAGAAAACACACATACTATTGCAAAAGCCTGCTATGTGCCAACTGGCCCAACCCATCTCTTGAGTCAACGATACTGTCAGCTCTGCGACTCACCTGTTCCAGAGGTCATCGTCCTCTCCTCCCCAGCCCCAGAATGCATTAGGAAATCCATTAATCTTTTTGAACTGCTTCACCGTCAGGCCACTGACACCACCGAAGAACTCATTATATGGGAGCCTTGGGGAGACAATTACACATAGTAAATTCATATTAAGTAAGAAATACATTTACTGTATATATGCCCATGGAGACAGAATCCGGACTCACATGTAGGAGTACTTGTCGAGTTTGACCGCGAAGTGTCGAGGCATGTCTGTGCAGCCGTAGTAGTTTCTATCGTTCTCCATGAGGTGATCCACATCGTGGAAAATCAGACAGTCCCAGTCCAGGTCCTTCATAGCCTCCTTATAGCCCACGTTGAACAACATGGCTCGGTTAAATGGCTCTGTGCCCCCCTTAAGAATCAATAAAAGACATTCTTTCATATTATGACAATTCCCATTTTCATAGGTTGTTATGCTTGTTATGTTCAATCATTTGAACAAATTTAAACAGTAAAACCCGGAAATTTGTATCACCTGAGAAGGAAACTCACTTCCACACAGGTGAATCTGTGAATCCGTGCCAATGACTGCAAAGGTGTGTGCATACCTGTTCTATGAAATAAAAGGCAAACTGGAGTCTCTGTTTTTGTAGCACTGGCACCAGGTGTCTCAGGAGAATGGGTAAGTGTTCATGTCGGTTCCTGAACGGGACTAGGATTGCCACCTAAGGGACACAAAATGGATAATAGTACATAGATATAAAATGACATGCATATAAATGGGGGACACACACCGACACACAGAGCACACTGACTAGCCTAACAGTCAATGCACTATTTGTACAAAGTGAATGTTTTAAAGAGTTGTGATCTCTCAGTAGGTGATAAATGGGGAAGTGTAGGCGAGGACAGCACCAAAAACCATTAATTACCATGAAGACTCATGACTAAGAACTGGCAGATTCTTGATATCTCATTTCCACGATGAGATCTGGTATGCATCAATCATAGAAGCACTGCGGCACTAACTGGCAGTGAAAGGTGTTCCACACAGAGCGGTGGCAATGACAGTCCCTGTTTTTAAGTTTCTTTTAAGCTCAAGAAAAGGCAAACTGTCACAGGAAGGAAAAAAAAACCCCCCCAAAACAAGTGAAATGGGGCAGCGAAGAGAGAGAGAGAGAGAGAGAGAGAGAGAGAAAGAGAGAGAGATCACTGAGGTAGATGAGAGAGAGATTGCTGGCTAATGAGAGAAAGAGATAGAGAGCTGGTTGTCAGAACATACACAGTCCCTCAGGGCAAATGAATGTGAGAGACGGACAGACAGATGGTAGGCAAGAACGCTCTGTTGGACAAAAAAAACTGAGTGATGAAAAAAGAGCACACAGTAGAGGAGGCTGGTTAAAGTGTGACTTACTAACAATTTTTTTTGCATTTGAACGTGCAAGTGGTGTAAGAACATGTATATGACACATACATTGCACAATGGACATGTATTGGACATGGCAGTTACAGTGTATGCATTATATGTCTGGACTGTGAATGCTGGAAACTTCCAGTAACAGACACTGATTATTCTCCCCATTACTTTTGACAGCAATGTCTGTTGACAAGAATGACATAGTCACTCAATAATTCAACTTTGTACACTCCTTAGTTACAGAATTATTGTGAATACTTTGGTATAAAGTCATTTTGAACTAAACCGTTCCCAACAACATCTGTGTATTAGTGATTGTGACATTTATTATTTTGAAAAATACACAATATTGCTGTAATCTTTTGGCACATTGAGCACCACAAACTAAATGCCATAGAGCGCTTTGTAAGGGTTCAGCTGCAGCTAATATTGCCAGAGGGCAGCAAATGACAACATGTACTGTAACATTTATGGGCAACAGATTACAGGATCAATCAACATAAAGTGTGGAGCACAATTTGCCACCAGAGGAGCTTCAAAGCCCCCTTGTATAGATTCTGCAAGTCTCTGAACTCTACAGAAGGGATGAATACCATTCTTCACAAAATTCTTCCATTTGGTGTTTTCAATGTGACATCCACACTTACCTTCCAGCGAGGTAAACAGTCTTTGGGCTTCCAGTAGCCTCCTTGGGCCATGCGAGGCTCTCCCTCCAGCAAGGATCTCTCCACCTCCTCCAAAGATATCTCACTCATATTCACCTCCAACCTGCCCTCTGTGTGTGGCAGGAGAGGAAAAAAAAAGAGAGGGAGAGGAAGAAGAGACAGATTTTATGAGCCAGAAAAAGCGACGAGGGTGAGGAAGAAAGATAGACAGAGTGAATAAATAGGAATAGGAAAGACATGAATGGGGGGGGAATAGATTAAGGGAATGAGATGAGGAAAATGTTAATGACAATACAAAGAGGTATGGAAAAGGGGGGGAAGAACAACACTCAAAGCTTTTAACAGTTGAGCAATCTGGGGCATAAATTGCTGGGTTAAGCTATTCTCTTAACATATTTGCATGCCTCATCAATCAAAACTGGAATAAAACAGAAGCTCTCAACCATTTCACTCCTTATTATTAGAACAAATATGTACAGAAGCACCACTAAAACTCACTTATGGGAACATTTTACACGGCCAAGAAAATCTGAAGAACTGTTTTTTTTTTTTACCATTAAGGGTCAACCAAGTAGACCAAATGACATTTTTCTCATCTGGTGCCTTACATATATTAGAGAATCATCAGCCAGGATCAAAGAATTAAAGACAAACTACAAATCAAACTTCAACAGTGCACTTACTCATGGAGGGCAGTCTCTCAGGGCAAATCTGGGAGGAGAGGTAGGTGAAGCCCTCTGGGAGGTATGTGGTGGGAGGATCATCACTCTCGCTCACATTGAAGTCATAGGAATAGTCTGGGGTCACACATATACAAGTATCAACACCACCATCAGCGGGAGCTTAATCCAGTCTTTATCTACATGAGTCAAGCTTTTTGCTCTATTGTGTTGTATTTTGATCTTTTCACCTCTTTCACTGCTGCCTAAGCGAAGTGCTCCATACACATGTCTAAGCCACTAACAGTACAGACCGGGACAGACTCACCTACTACAGCTCTGTTTCCTTAACTGCATTTGCACCCATGTAATTGCATTTTTTAAAAAGCAGCATATGAGCTAAGTATTCCCGATACACCTCGGTGCATCAACGTGTATGTTTTTACCTGTGCCATTGATGCTGTAAGCCCCTCTCACCACCTGCTCCAGAACCTGAGCCCCAATGTTCTTCACGTTCTCTCTGATCTGGATCCCTCTGGCTTGGACCATGAACACATACTCATTCACTGTGGACAGAGGGGAAAAGGACAGAGAGTTAAGCCATGTTATTCTTGGACACAGTGTAAAAGTCACATCAGTAAAAAATAAATAAAGCGGGGAGGGTCTACAGCTTGAAAGATCACCTCATCGGGCGTAATAACCTGTGAAAGTGCATAAATACAAACTACCATTTATAAAAAAATAAATAAACCTTAACTGAGGTACTTATTTTCACTTTTTTTAGACCAACATCCTCCTCCTAGTGTAAGTACACTCTTCCACCTGATCTGGTCCAAACTGATTATCTGCCTTGGTGACGTAATGAGGGTGATCGTTTTTCTTTTCATCTTAATGAGCCACATGTCGAGGGACTTTCATTCCAAAGAAGTCAAATATTAGAATGTAAATCTATGATGATGGGGCAGGAGAGACAACTCACACTTATTTAAGGAGAAGTGACTAAGATAATTAATTTTAAAATATCTGCCTTCCATGCATAATAACTGCTATGTTACGTTGCCATTTTCGATATGATCTACTGTGCGGTTCGTCATAGATCATTTTTTGCAGCAGGAAAAAAAAACACTAACCCACAAACAAGGTGTAAGTTTAAACAGACCGCACAGAGGTTGTGCACAGAGACGGAAAGTTCCTACCTGAATTTCAATCCATTCGATCCATTCAATCTCAAATAATAATCAGCAACATCAACAGTTAATCACGAGATCCACTAGAGAACTACATCCTCGTGTTTGATATCTCTTATTACAACTGTTGTGAATTTTCATGACAGTTAACTATCAGGAACTTCACCAGAGAAGCTTTGTGCCACTTCTCTTCAGTCTGGTTTGACCTAAATAACACCACATCAGAGGTCAACCTGCCAAATAGGAACTACCCAGTAGAACAATGAGAGGGGATGTGGTCTAACTGCGCGATACCTTGCCCCAACCTCATTCAAATGCAACTACACTGTGGCCACAAATGTGCACTTGCATGAACCAAACAGTGACTCACACAAGTTTCTGATTTCAACAGACAACAGAGGAAAATACCATTTGTTCAAAGCACCAGAAATAACTCCCAGGATCACCGACTACAACTCCTGTTTCTTTATTTGGAGCAGCATGCCAGCACAACGCTGCCAAATTGATGGATCTCTGCCTCAGTGACTCTGTATCCAACTGCACAATCCCTGGCCATTAATCCAATCAGTATTTACCTTAGAGCAATCCCAATATGATCCACACATGTCTGTGAAGATGTGTGTCCCTGTGTGTGCTGGTGCGCGCACACATTAATTCTGCTGAGGTAGAAATCTACAGGATGTGATTTGTCATTAGTAATTGTATTACAGTTTCCATCACATTTATCTTGTTTTATACAAACTGCCGGGCATGCAAGACTAGAGACTAGTGGCTTAGCGGTAACTGAAATCAATGCTCTCATTTTACCTCTGCAACATGCAAATGTTACAGTGCAGACGAAGGAAATCTGCAAAGGATAATAATAATGAAACGTGAAACAAGAATGCAGACGAGATCCAGTTCACTCTCACTCCAACACACGCAGAAGTGCATCAACAGACGCATGTCCACACATGCATACACAAATCCACACACACATTCACTGATGCCCTTCAGAGGTGCCATATGATGGAAAAATGCTAAGAGGCTTCTGGAGCGTGATCCAGTCCTACAGGCACCAACATGTTTTTGAAATGTTTGCATCGCCCTCCTGCCAATGTGAACACTCGTGTACTGTATACAAAGTTGGTTGCACAATTCTCTCTCTCATCAAACATGCACTCTAGAGAACAGAGCAATGGTTACTGCTGAGGTATTCGAGGCTACAAACTGTGACAAATGCAATTAAACATAAGAGACCAAGAGTTTAGACGAGGCTGGCGTGGTAGCCTACAACACAAGGCCATTAGTGCTGGACATAAGCAAGGACACACACACACACACACACACACACACACACACACACACACACACACACACACACACACACACACACACACACACACACACACACACACACACACACACACACACACACACACACACACGCATCACTAGAAAAGGGGGCATTGCATGCATGCACAACTATACCACAAGGACCCCAACTGCACCTCATCCTATCAGAAACCCCCACTGTAACCTATCAAGCAAGACCTTGAACGACCTTGTCCTCTATAGCTCTCACAGAACATTGTTGTCCGCATGCCAAGCCTGGCCCACCTCTCTCTCCCTCTCTCTCTCTCTCTCTCTCCCTCTCCCTGTCCCTACTTCCACTTATCTGTCCTTTCCTCTATCTTCCCTCTTCATCTTTCTGTGCTGCTGTCTCTGTGTAATGTGGTTTGCATCAGTTTCTGTCAAGTCTGTTTGTTCCTATCGTTTAAGTAAATAATCTGAATGATGGATTGCAGGCTTAAGGGGACAATTCCAGGCACAGACCCTGCACCACACTGTACTGTAACTGAGGTTAATAGAAAAAGGGAAAAAAAGCCAACAAACAAGCAAAAAAAGGAAACACACACCCCCCCTCCCTCCCCCTTCCTTGCCTCTGAAAGGCAATTAACTCCACATTGATAGCTCAGCAGTGGGAGGTGACCGGTCCCGTTCTGGTAGCTCCCTGATAAGAGCTGAAAGGCAGTTTTCTCTCCCAGCAGAAACGATTTCTGCATGCACACACACACAGACACACACACACAGACACACACACACACACACACACACACACACACAGTAACACACTATACATATACTCATAGCTTTCAGGGTTTAAAGCTGTCACTCGCAGAAAGGGTCATTTTTACTACCACTGCATATCAGTGACACCCACAGACCCGAACATGTATAAAGACATCCAGGAAGTAGGGTACTATGGGTGCAAATACATCATTCCTCAGAGAATGCTGAATGTGTGTTATGTCTGAATTAATGACACTATCCGTAATGTTGCACTCTAAATTGACCATACATGATTCAGCAGCCCATTTCAATACCTTATTGGAAGTTAAACAGCCAATTACTCAGAGCATTAGCACTAGTCTCTCACAATTCACCAGAACAACCCCTGTAATTTGACTGTACTGATCTATTGAGTATCGGCATTAAATGGCAGTGAAGATGACAACATTTCCTCATTGGATGTAGGTTGATTTTTTTAAACACGTGTGTTCTTTTTGAACCATTATTGGGTTTGATCTGAAGGGACAAACGTGTTATTACCTTCTTTGACCCTGTGGAAGTGATGCCGAGAAACCCAGAGCTGTGGTGGATCAATAGTCACACACACACACACACACACACACACACACACACACACACACACACACACACACACACACACACACACACACACACACACACACACACACACACACACACACACACACACACACACACACACAGAGTTGGCAAACTATTACCATATAGGGAAATATATGTCTTTTTACGAATGAAAAATACTTCTACATACTACTACATTCATTTGTGTGATTTTCTGAACCAACATTGAGAGTATTTTTCCTTTTTTATCTTGATGGTGAGATATAGTAACACCATTCAGTTTACACAGAGATAAACTCGCGTCCTGTTTGTTCACCGTCAAAATCACTCAAGCCATTTTTTACATGAACACACGCACTCGTATTTCAGAGTCAAAGATCTCCCATGAGTGGCGTTCAGGAGTTCATTTGAGTATTTTAACAAAAAGTCACTGCTTGTGGGGGGATTTTGTTTAAATACTGAGCAAAACCACAGGAAATATTTTGACAAGTATTGCTGGTTTTCTGAGTAAATTCACACTACTGTTGAAGATTCTTTCTCTTCACCAGGAAGTCTCTGGTATTTATAAATATTTGAGTTGCTGATTAGATGCCATTTCTATAATGAACACTGGCAGATATAGCTTTGGCATCTCCCTTACATATTTTAAACTGACAGGAAGAAAAAGAACTACATCAAAGAACTACATCAAACTACATCAAAAGTACATTTTTCTCATCATGGGTTCTCCCATGCAAAACAAAAAACTCTTTCTAAGGTGGAGATTTTAACTGAACATTCATTTGTGTTCAGTCTCACTCACTCTTATCTTTGTCGATATTTTTCTTTCCCTCTCCCTTTTCCTCATATCCTGGCACCTCCTTTCCACGCAACCATTATTGTTGTCATGGGTAACTTAAGGTTATGTAAGCAGCAATGTGTAATGCTTTCTCTAGGTTCAATTCTGTGCATGCCTCGAGAGACACATATATGCAAAGGCATAGATTTCCCGCATCCCCTTAAGGTGAAAAAAAAAAAAAAAAAGCACAGCAGCTGAAGGGAAAAAGTGAAAGTGTTGCTACTGGGTATGAGCTACTCGGTGAGCACTGCAAATGGATGTTCAGTAACAATTATTTAAATGCTAATAAAGAATCAATCAAATTAAATTCAGACCCATAGTCCTCGGATAAAAAAGGATGAAAGGTAGAAGAAAAAAAGATGGTTTAAACAATCTCAAGTGGACGAATAAACTAAAACTATAAAAATAAAGAGTTGCCACAAATCTAATATCTCAAGCAATTTTCATTTAGTATTTGACATGGATTTATATTTAATTATTTTCTTAAGCCTCCTCCTGTATATATATATATATATATATATATATAGTATCAATTATTTTAATTGAAGATTCATTTATTTCAAATTATTTTTGTTTGCAAAAAAACCCCAACAAAAACAAAAAAACATATTGGAGTGGTTCCAAATCATGGTGCAAATCAGCAAATTAATTTGCAACTTTCAATGTGCTGGCTTTAGTTGTCGGCCCTGGGAGTTGACCCTTTGACATCGACAAATAACTTTCTCGTATTTGTTCACCCAAACAACCACCCACCCTTCCTACACAAAAAAAGGATGTTTTTCTCCGTGAATCGGTTTCCTGTTTTCTCAACTTACAGAATCACACCAACATGAACTCGAGCAGTTGCAGCTGATAATGAGGACTATATTAGTCCGGTGCTAGTTTTGGT